CTCAAGTCCTTATTAAAAAAAGGCATGCTATTTGCATATAACCTATAGGTATCCTCCTACATACTTCAAATCATCTTTAGATTACTTATGATACCTAACACAGTGTAAAGCTGTGAGTGTATCATATGTGGCCTCTATTATTTTGAGGTCTATTCCTTCCATACCATGTTTGTTGAGGGTTTTTATCATAAAGGGATGCTGAATCTTACTGAATGCTTTTCAGCATCTATTGAAATGAGGATACACCTTTTGGTTTTAGTTCTGTTAATGCGATGTAACATTTTTATTGATTTGGGTATGTTGAACCATCCCTGTGCCTGGGGTTAATTCACTTGATCATGGTGAATGTTTGTAATATGTTGGTGAATTCAGCTTGCTTGTGTTTTGTTGAGGGTTTTTACATCTGTTCAGCAGAGCTATTGGCTGTAGTTTTCTTTGCTGTTGTTTCTTGTGAACGTACAGCTATATGGTTACATTGGAGGATTATTTATTCCAGTCTTCTCCGTCTGGCTTGTTTTGATTTTTATTGGATATGTTTACTTAGAGATTCTTTGTAATTTACCTGTTGATAGTTTTGATAGTTTCTTTTGTTTTTGTTGTTTGTTTTGTTTTGACATGGAGTCTCACTCTGTCACCAGGCTGGAGTGCAGTGGTGCGATATCGGCTCGCTGCAACCTCCACCTCCCGAGTTCAAGTGACTCTTCTGCCTTAGCCTCCTGAGTAGCTGGGACTACAGGCGCCTGCCACCACATCCAGCTAATTTTTATTTATTTATTTATTTATTTGCATTTTTAGTAGAGAAAGGGTTTCACCATGTTGGCCAGGCTGGTCTTGAATTTCCTGAACTCAAGTGATCTGCCTGTCTTGGCCTCCCAAAGTGCTGGGATTACAGGTGTGAGCCGCCTCGCCTGGCCTGCTCGGGTTACAGGCGTGAGCCACCGCGCCTAGCAGCCTGTTGATAGTTTCTGTCCCCCCACAACTCGGTCTCTGCCTTCTTTTTAGCATTAGATGGTGCTGCAGGGCCAGGTTGGCCTTGGTTCTGGTCAACAGTGCTGCTTGCCTTAAATGGGGGAGGTTCCAAAGGGGATATGCTGGTAGTGCGGGAAGGCTGGCCACAGCTTCATGACCAGGGAACCTGTGGCATGAACCTCTTACAGCATAACGTTGATGAACAGCCACTTGGATTTGGCATCTCCTTTGGCCAAGTTACCAAGCAGGGTTTCCAAAGCTGGGAATGGTAGTCCTGCCTCCCCCTTCGTCTCTGGCTGTCCTCAGGGATATGTCTTCCTTCAAGGATTTTTGGTGCTTCCTGTGGGCTGAGGCAGGACAGATCTCCTGTCAAGGAACCCAGGATGAGTGAGGAGGCTGGTTGTGCACGTCGGTCTCACTTTTTCCAGTGTCGAAGTCATGAGTTGGGGGAAATTCTCCACACAGTTGGTCAGGCAGATGGAGGGAGAGCTGTTGCGGATACGGAGTTCAATTCTCGGACTGTCTGCTTGGAGCTTTCTCACTTGTCTGTGGCCCTGATAACTGTCTCCTCCTCATATTTGAATTCAGAGATATCGTTGGTGATAATCTTGGTGCTCTATATTTGTTTGCTGGCGGGGGAGAGAATGAAGCCAATTGTGCCTAGGCTGCCATTTTGGAAACATAAGTCTCTATAGATGGTCATTTGTGTTGTTTCCAGGTTTTAGGTATCAAGAACCATGTTAAAGCAATACAGTAACATGTTTGTGGTGGAATCTAGGTGGTGGTATATGGGTGTTCACTGTCAAATTTTTTCAATGTTGCTTTGTGTTTGAAAATTTTCATAATAAAATGTTGGAAAAATCCGGCTGGGTGCTGTGGCTCATGCCTGAAATCCCAGCACTTTGGGAGGCTGAGGCGGGAGGATCGCTTGAGTTCAGGAAATTCAAGACCAGCCTGGCCAACACGGTGAAACCCTGTCTCTACTAAAAATACAAAAATTAGCCAGGAGTGATGGTGCACACCTGTAATCCCAGCTACTCAGGAGGCTGAGACAGAATCGCTTGATCCCGGGAGGCGGAGATTGCAGTGAGCCGAGACTGCACCACTGCACTCCAGCCTGGGTGACAGAGCAAGACTCAGACTCAAAAATAAATAAATAAATAAAATGTTGGAAAAATTCTACATCTGGGCCAAAATGGAGGAACCCTATCCCTCCCAAGTCTTCCATCTTACAACTAGGAAAACTTGGACAAAACACAAAAACAAGCATAGGAAGTCTCTGAAATGTAGAAAGAAGGAGGAAAACTGGGGATTTTGGGGCTGAGGCACAACATGGTAGTAAATTTCTTCATTTTCCTTATCGCCTCCCAGATCTCCCAGCTAACTCGTTCCAGAAGCTTCCAGTCTAGAACCAGCAACAGGCAGTTATTGACTGAATATTTCTGTCCCTCTGCCAGATTTTTTTTTTTTTTTTGAGATGGAGTCTTACTCTGTTGTCCAGGCTGGAGTGCAGTGGTGCAATCTCAGCTCACTGCAACCTCTACCTCCCAGGTTCAAACAATTCTCCTGCCTCAGCCTCCCAAGTAGCTGGGACTACAGATGCATGCCACCACGCCCGGCTAATTTTTTGTATTTTTAGTAGAGACGGGGTTTCGCAGTGTTAGCCAGGATGGTCTCGATCTCCTGAACTCATGATCCGCCCACCTCGGCCTTCCAAAGTGCTGGGATTACAGGCATGAGCCAGTGCGCCCAGCCCCCTCTGCCAAATTTCTGTGTTAAAATCCTATTCCCCAACAAGGTGTTATTAGGAGGTGGGTCCTTTGGGAGGTGGGTCCTTTGGGAGGTGATTAGGCTATGAGGGTGGCACCCTCACAAAGACATGAGGACTTGCTTTCTCTCTCTGCTTTCCACCCTGTGAGGATCCAATGAGACGATGGCCACCCGAAAAGCAGGACTGGGACCCTCACCTGACACTGGATCTTTAGGCATATCGGTACTGGACTTTCCATCCTCCAGAACTGGAAGCAATAGGTGTTTAAGCCACCCAGTCTATGATAGCCTCAATGACTAAGACTGGCGCAGTCAAAAAGAGCTCTAAGAAAAGTCTGTTCCTTGCAGCCAAAGGACCAGCATAAGGGTGGCCTAACACAGAGAAGCTTTTTGGTAGTATTCACCCTGCTCCAACCAGAAACCAACAGAAAAATCATACTTCCCACTTATCTGAGCCCCTGAAAACCAGAAGGAAGTAGTGCATTTTTCTCAAGTACAAAGAAAA